GATATATCTTAATTAGATATATGTACAAACATGTATGTACAGACCCCGGAGTATTAAAATTACAACAATGCGTGTACATATTCTTTTGCATAGCGAAGGCTAATGGTACAGTGACATTATGTTTCAAATTGTCCTATATCCTTCTAACTTGTGGTAAGGGTCACTTAGATAATTACGTTAGACAGTGATTGCATAGAGAGGTAGGCAATCAAGGATCGGCTGTTTGTTTTAGTTTATTATGTCCTATATTCTTATATATTGTGATAAGAGTTAAATAAGAAGATCCGTTAGGAAGTATTTATATAGAGGGGTAGGCAGTCAGAAGGAGCGACTATTTATACAGGAAAATGTATTGTTACCATAGGGGTATGCTCGATCAAATTCTCATATAATTTGTACATGGTTGGGAAGAGGATATAGATTATACTCTATGGAATCTTAGGAGAAAGTTAATATAGTGCATAATATATTGTACAACCAATATTCAGTATTTATACTTATGTATTTTTTTCATTGTATTGTGTTTCAATAAAACGTGAATGTTTATGTGGTAACGGTGGTATATCTACAGTATACTCTCTCCATCTAGTATTGTTAATAAAGAGTGGAATAGTGGATAGTGTAATCTACCCTTTTACTTCAGTCATTAGATAGGAAGCAATTGAGATCTAATTCTACGTTCAAGCCCTTTGGTGTCATCGTTTCCATCAGGTAAATCCACTTAGTTTCATTTCTGGAAATGGCTCTCTTCATATGATTTCCTCTCCATTGTTTGAACACCCTATCTAGGCCCATAAACTGGATTCCTTTCGGATTGCAGTTATGTTTTTCCCTAAAGTGTCTAGATAAATTATGATCGCGTTTGCCCTTCTTTATATTATTAATATGTTCACGTATTCTCACCCTTAATTCTCGGGTGGTTCTCCCTATATACTGTAAACCACAGGGACATTGTATCATATAAGTGACGTGAGTGCTATGGCATGAAATAAATTCCTTGATCTTAAATTGCCGTCCATTTGAATTAGAACCAAATTCTAAGATTGTTTTCTTTTTTCCAGTTTGTCTACATCCTATACATTTGCCACAGGGGTAGAATCCTTTGCCTTGGAAAAATGCGGAGGGTCTCTTTGGAGGGTCCAGGACATTGTGTATCAGTTTATCCTTGATGTTTGGAGCCCTTTTGTAAACTATTTTTGGCTTTGTGGGAAGTAATGGTCCTAAGATTTTATCTTTTTTGAGGAGTGGCCAGTGTTTCTCAAGTATATATTCCATTTCCTTGTATTGTGTCGAGAAATTGGTAATAAACAGAATAGATTGCTCCTCTTTTTGTTTTCTCGTTTTTGTCTGGAGCAACTCTAACGATGGCGAGTGTTGGATCTCAGCTGCGGAGGTAAGTGGAAATGGTTCAGTAGGGAGGTTCGCAGTAACACTTTAAGTCAGTGAGTGCAGTCGGAACCCCTTACACATCATACACCATTTATCCTGGGAGCATTGAGTTGTAATCTTGTTGTACATATGGTTGAGGAATTAACAGTCAAGGGTATATGGTGCAGCAGTGTTTGAGGAGAGAGCCAGTTAACGTCACTAAGCCCAATATGAGTTGCATGCAGGTGACAACAACTATGGCTAAGCAGCAATAATGGAGCAGATGGCAGAAGAGGAGAGAGGATGTAATATGAGACTTCCCCACAAGGTGGCAGTACAGCGGAAGGGGAGTGAGTCCCGGAGGCTGCCCCGTTCCGCAGGGGTAAGGGATACATCTAGAAGTTCGCACTTTTGCAGGTTTACACGGTAGTTGGAGAGACCCCAAAATATTTTACATTCTTGCATCACAGAGGGTGGGGCCACCAGTGGGTTGGAAAGGTACAATAGCAGGTCATCAGCATATAACCCCATTTTATGAATCAATTGGATAAGTCTAAGAACGTTTACCAGGCGTTCCATGCCCAGGATGTAAAGTAATGGGGACAGGGGGCAGCCCTGCCGGGTGCCATTGTGTATTTGGAATGGGGCCGAAAGCAGCCCGTTCACCCGTACCCTGGCGTGAGGTCGGTAATAAAGTGCCATGATTTTATCCACAAAATCTGTAGGGAAGCCTGTCTGAAGTAAAGAGGCCCGTAAGAAGGACCACCCAACTCGATTGAAGGCCTTCTCGGCGTCCACTGAAAATAAACAAAAGGAAATGCCTCGCGACCGGGCGTAATGTATCATGGTGATTGTTCGCTTAATACTATCTTTGGCCCCCCGTGCAGGCACAAACCCCACCTGTTCCTTATGAATCAGGTTAGGGATGAAGGTTGTCAGCCTGTTAGCCAGGATCTTCGCATAGATTTTAACATCAACCTTTATTAATGAAATGGGGCGATTATTGCAATGAGTCGTGTCTTTACCCGGTTTGGGCAAGACAACAACGTGGGCCTCCAGAGCTTGGCTTGGGAAAGGACAGGACAGGGAGATGGCGTTAAAGGACTTAGTTAAAGGAGGCGTTAAGTGGTCTTTGAACCGAGAATAGAATTTAGTGGTGAACCCGTATGGCCCCGGGCTTTTGCCCGAAGGAAGTGACTTAAGCGTATTAAGGACTTCAATGTCCGTGAATGAGGCAGTAAGATCCAGAAGGGCATTATCCGTGACCTCCGAAAGGGATGTTCGCGATAGGTACGACTGAAGCTCCGATGTAAGGTCAGGGGAACGGGGACTGTCCGAACCCGGCTGTAGATTATAAAGGGAAAGAAGAAATCGTGAAATTCTTCCGCAATGCGTTCAGAGCTATGGACCACCCCACGTTTAGCCGAATTGATTTTTGGGACATACGTGCGGAGCTGTTGCCCACGAACCGAGCGACCAACAAACGACCGCTTTTATCGCCATGTTTGTAGAAAATGCTGCGCACCCGATCCCTATGAGAGAGATACTTAGCATCCAACTGTCTCTGAATTTCCAGTCTCACCCTGGTTAAATCCTGGAGCAGTGGGGGGGATGGGGATTTTTTATGCACAGTTTCCAGTGAGGCACGGTCTGAAAGCAGTCTTAACAGGGTAGCCCTCCGTTCCCTCTTCAGTCGAGAGCTGTGTTTTATCAACACCCCTCGAATCATAGCCTTAAGAGCTTCCCATTGGATCGGGGCCTGGGTGGGGTCGGCTGCATGATCAGAGAGGAAGTGGGTAAGGGTGGTGGCAACATCTGATTTACAGACAGGGTCTAAGAGAAGATTCTCGTTCAGTTTCCACGTATAAGATGATTTGCATGTACCCGGGACCTCCAGGGTGAGAAATACCGGGGAGTGGTCAGCCCAGATTCGGGTGCCAATGGCGGTAGAAGGGGCCCATGAAAGATGATGATGTGGGATCAAAAAGAAATCAATCCTGCTATAAGAGTTGTGCAGGCCAGAGTAACAAGTGTAGTCCCTATGACGTGGGTGCAGAACCCGCCATGCGTCCACAAGCTGTAGAGAATGGAGGCGCTTCTTAAGCTTATTAAGTGATGGATACGAGATCTGGGACCTCCCCGAAGTAGTGTCCAGACTCGGGTCCAATACCAAATTGAAGTCGCCCCCCAAGATCAGAACGCCCTCTGTAAAATCCACAAGTTTAGAGAGAATAGACAGTAACAGAGGGACCTGACCCTGGTTTGGCATATACACGTTAGCCAGTGTAAACGTCCTATTCTGAATGTAACATTGCAAAAAAACATACCTCCCATCTGGGTCAACCCTTTCAGCAAGTATCTTACACGTCAAAGAGGAGTGGAGTCCTATCGCCACCCCCTTGGTCTTACCACAGGGGTTGAAGCTGTACACCCATCTGGGGAAGTTGCGGCAGGTAAGGAGAGGCACCATATCAAGCAGAAAATGGGTCTCCTGCAAGAAGACAATTTGATTATGGAGTTTGTGTAGATCATACAGGAGCTGCAACCGTTTCTGAGGTGAGTTCAGACCTCTAACATTCAGAGAACATAATTTCAGGCCTTGCATATGGAAGCCGAGAGCAAGGACAAGCGATCAGAGGGACACTCCGAGCTGCCCAAGGCAAGGAAAGGAGCGAGGTAAGGGGTCAGGAACAAACAGCAAGGACAAAAGGAATAGGGCAAGGAAAGGGACAAGGGTAGTAGAAGGAAGAGAAAGTGACCAGACAAAAGTCCCTAAAATACCTAAACACCTGTTTACAGGCGAGGGAAGGCCTGTGCGGGGGTAGAGAACTACTCAAGGCAGCCACAGCACAGAATCCCAGGAATCCAACAATCAAAGGAATATATATAGTGGTAAACACGGCATATATATAAAAAACAAAAACATTAAAACAGTGAACCAGGAACACTCAGCGTACTCAGTATAAAACACCCACTTGAGGACGGTGTGGTGGTGGGGGCGGTGGTGAATGGGGAGGGGAGAG